TGTGGATAGCAAGTCGCGAAACTGATGCCCTAACATCAGGGTCATCATCTCTATCCGACCTTTCTACTAAAAAATAGCGCTCCCGTTGGCTAAGCGAGACAGCACTTAAGTTCAGAACCAAAAACCACAGTTCATAATAATGGTCCAGTTAAAATCATCACACAATGAAATCATCACGCAGTCAAATCAAGTAAGAATCGAGCACTGAAACATGTTTTGACGCCCGGAATGGGTTCGACCCATGTTTCTGAGCATGTGCAGAAGGCTTCGCTTCACAGCAGGCGCCTTGCACGCAGGAGGCATTACAGGGTCTGAAGGCGAACATCCTTAACGCTAAAGGTGAGGCTGTTTCTCAAAATTATTTTCACCCGATTTCAGACTTTATATCAACCCTCGTGGGATTTCTACGCTGAACGGGTGATGTGTGGGTTTTTAATAACGCTTCAGAAACAAAGTTGAAATTGACGCCTGGCTGCATGGCTGCATTCAGCGGTCAGGGCCGTTTCCGCTGCGCTTCCTTGCAATATTAAAAGCTACTTAGTGATAAATGTGCACCATCAGTTCAGGGCTGACTTACAGCGACCGTTTCCAGGGTTTTCCTGGCAGAGAATATTCAGAAGTGGTTTCCTCTTCCCTTCTCCTGGGAACGGTCAACCAGCTTGCCCAAGGCCACCCAGGCTGGCTCTCTTCACAGGAGGCACCGTGCAGATTCGAACTCCCAACCTACCTAATTCATTGAGCTATCTAGCCAGCATATAAGGGAAGACACAGAAAAGAAAACCATTCAGAATGAATCTTCCAGTTCTGGTTTTTCTCACATTCATTTCCCCCCCTTCCCAAAAACTCAGATTCTTTCCATCTTGAACCACCGAGACATTTTCCGAAACTTTGAAAACCCTCAAGAAGAACTCAACAGAAACACTCTTCTTTCCTACCAAGAACTGTCCCAGTTTGGACCATCCTCCTCCCATTTGCACATGGTGGGCCCACGAGGCTGCAAGGAAAAGACGAGGCTTCCACGTCATGGCAGGACTCTGTCGTCG